TAGAACTGTGGAAAATGTAGTTCCCATGGATACATGGGAACTTGGATGCTATCCGGGGCCCAAATGACTTAGGCCCCAAATATCTGAAAGACCGTATCCTTCCCCACAGCCCTTCTCAGGTATTAAGATCAACAGAGAGGGCCCTATTGTACTCTTGGTAGTTCCAATGCCCTCAGAGTTTGGGGAGGGGGGTCCTAGGAGAGGACATTCTCTCTGGACCCCCTAAGTTGTGGACTTTCCTCCCCCCAAAAATGCATACGGAATCTTCAATGTACAGCTTAACATATGCTGAAGTGACACCTCTGCACTCTGGTGTTGATTTATTTAGTTCTTGATATATTTAGTTCCAATTGTAACATCTGGGTGCCACAGTTAGACTTGGATAGGGTTGCCATATGTCTGGAATTTCCTGGACATACCTAGAATACTGCATTCAGAAGCAGTGTATGGGCGGAAATCAGCAAAATGCCCCTGGAAAATCCAGAGATATGGCAACCCACATCGGCAGTACTGTTTTTGCCTCTTTTCCTTAAAAATAGCCCCAGATTTTCACTTCTTGAAACAGAGTTGGACAAATCTGTCAATTTTGGTTTCTCATTTTTAAAACCCTAAATTCCATTCTCTATTCATAGCAGCAATTATTATTATTATTATTATTATTATTATTATTATACCTCATGGCATTTTTTCAGCATTTTAATGCAATTTTTTCCATATGCACACTCATCATTTTTACTACTTTGGCAAGCAAATTTCCCGAATATAATCTAGTCTGTATGCAACTTTCTCTAATGAAGAAAATGTATGCTTACATTGGTTGGAAAACTAGATCACAAAATTCAGAGAAAGGCAGATTTCAAAGGCTAGTTGTGTTTTGGTTACCTTATTGATTCTACAAATGCAAATTAGGTGGTTTCTCACTAAAAAGCAAAGAAAATGGGATTTCTCCTTCATCAGACCCATAGGTTTCCCGTCCTTCCATTGCAGACTTAAGTCACATGCTTTCCTGAAGGAAGTATCACAAGACTCATGATGGGAAGTTGTCACAGCGGCTGATGCATGGGGAGAAGAGAGGCAGAGTAATGAGAAGAGAGATTCATTCATCCATTTTGACGGCGCACCTTTCTTTTGGCATATGGCGCTCTTATGCAAATCCAAATTAGAGCTGGGATGCAAGGAATAATTGGCCATTAAAAGGGCTGTATGTTTTTATGGCTTTGATGGGGAAATCTGCCCCCCTGTTGGGTTTTGCATCTGCGACTTTGTCATCTATCCCTGAGCTTCAAAACTTAAATATACAGTTTATAATACACATCTCAACTAAGGGAATTTCTGGTGTTGAGAGATAAACATCCTTCATTCTGCATTTCGGGCTCCCCCGCCAAACTTATGTGTGTTAAAATATGCCATCTAATAGCCTTCTACACAATTTTTATCTCATTTAATAAGAAAATGAATGGGAATAAAATTAGCTATTTATTAATATCACTTGGGATGAATTGGCGTTTGTTTGCAGTTCAGGCGTGAGCACAGTGGTAAGCTCTCATTTCGTGAAATACTCAATGGCCACATTCATACCATACATTTAAAGCATGATGATGCCATTTTAAACAGTCAGGATTTCTTCAAAAGAATTCTGGGAAGTATTTTATTAAGGGTGCTGAGAGTTGTTAGAGGAGCCCTAATTCCACCATAGAGCTGCAATTCCCAGAGTTCCTTATGAAGAGGGATTGATGGTTAAGCACCTCTTAAAACTATGGCTCTGGGACAGGAGTAGGGGTCTCTGAAACTATGCTCATCACCTTTAAAAACTACAGCTCCCAGAATTATTTTGGGGGAAGCCATAATGGTTTAAAGTGGAATCATAGTGCTTTAAATGTCTGGTGTGAATGTGGCTTAAAAGGTCTTTGTTGCAAAACCCAGTCTCCATTGGCTTATTCTAACTCTGCGATTATATAGACCAGTGTGGTGCTAGAAATTCCTTCCGTATTTTTCCTGAACAGTCTCAACCAATTAATGAGAAAATAAACTACATTTAAAAATCCTTAGTCTCAGTGTTGCCCTTGGAGAACCTAGCAAGGAAGAGGATTGGGACAAAACTAGAGTTGGTGGGTTCTCCTGGTTGCTGGCTCTGGCGCCACCTACTGTTGGCTTTCCTGCCTTCTGCCCTACCAGTTTCAGTGGCCACAAACCACCATTTTGCAGGGCCCCATGTTACCCACCCCTGTTCTAACTCATGTAGAGCAGCAGTACCTCTGCTAAAGATGGGTGAATGCTTATTTTGGTTTCTCTCAGTTTGTCACACACACACCCCATTTTAAATTCAGTTCAGCAGTTTTAAATCACTTTGCAATATAAAAAGCATGGGAGCGGGGGACTTATGAAAACTTATGAGTGTTTTGCAGCATATTTCTCCTAATATACACGTTTTCTGAAAGCCATTTCCCTAATATGATTTTTGTATCTTTGGGGGGGTTGGCATATGCATATAAATTCAGAGGAGTGCAAATTTTTCAGGATACGATTCCTGTGTTTCTGTTTGAGCAGAGTTTCTAGAAGTGTGAATTAGAATGTGAAGGGGAAAGCATATTGCTCCCTCATCCCTAGTTCCTACTACAACAGATAAGAGCCTGACTTGATATAACTGAGGTTCCCCCACACACACAGACACTTTATGACCTCGGGGACATTCAGATGTGGGGAATCTGTCCCATTTTCTAATTTCCTTTCACACTGCAGCACCTGTTGCATTATATAATTGTGGCTTTTGGACCGATATAACAGCATGTCACACTAAATTTCTTTCACACAAGTGGGTGTGGTATGACACAAGGACAAATGCCACCCAACAATATTGCTACCTCCTCACCCTTTCCACACAGTCCTGCTGCTGTCCTCCCATAATTCCTCCGTGAAAACAGCAGGGAAGAACTGTACGTTGGTGTGCCGCCCCTAATTTTGTCACTTTATTCTTTTGATTTTCTGGCTTAAAGGGGCTGCAAATGGATGCCCCCCCCCCGCCCCAACCTGAAATAAAATGGAAATGTTCTCTATTCCATTAGTTTTCCAAAAGTGACTTTTACGTCATGTGAAAGATCAAATATAACGCAGAAGTTAAGAGTTAGGGAAACGCTGGGAAAATGGAATAAACTTTCTCCCAAATGCAGCTCTGGTCTGGTCTCTCATCCCTCTAAGCAAGTACCAGTTGGATATTTATATATGAGTGCATCTAGGAACCTGGCTAGCTGCCTTATACTGAATCAGATTTAGGCAGGTAGCCATGTTGGTCTGACGCAGTTGAAATAAATTAAAAAATTAAAAAATTGTCCAGTAACACCTTAGAGACCAACTAAGTTTGTTCTGGGTATAAGGTAGGTATCTGAAGAAGTGTGCATGCACATGAAAGCTTATATTCAGAACAAACCTAGTTTGTCTCTACTGGACAATTTTTTTAACTTTTTAATTTATTTATAACTCAGTGTTCTCTACACTTCCTAGTTCTATCTGGAGATGCTTAGAATCGAACCTGGGACTTTCTGCATGCAAGGCAGATGCTCTAACTTCTGGACTATAGCCTCCCAGTCCTGAATTGAGCTATAGCTCTTTCTCTTTTTGGTGACACAGAACTGAAGGATGGATGTTCTTGTATTGCAGGGGGTTGGACCAGTTGACCCTCGGGGTTCCTTCCGGCTCTCTGTTTATTCTCTTCCTTTCTGATTTGCCTTTCCCTCCAGTGCCGGGTTTCCCATACCCTGCCGCTACTGCTGCCGCCGCGTACAGAGGAGCACATCTCAGAGGCAGAGGCCGCACCGTCTACAACACATTTCGCGCCGCAGCACCCCCTCCTCCCATCCCGGCTTATGGCGGGTAAGTAGACCCTTGGGACTCCGTTTGGCCATTGATACTGCCTTCTCCTGCCCTCTTTTGCCACCTCCCCAGAAAAGGAGAGAGAGAGGCAACCGAGCATTTGTGAGTGCTATGCATGATGATGCCATCTCTACACACACACACACACACACACCACACAGCAAGCCACCCATCTCCGTTGCCTGAAGTGGAGCACCTTGCGCACAGGGCTGACAAATGATAGTAATTTGCACTGTCATGGTTGGGAGCTTTAAAGCATTTTGCGCGTCCCATGTTGTTATGTAAATTCCCCTTGAGAAGGAACACTGGTGGAAAAAAAGAGAGAGAGAAGGAAAGGAAAGGGAAAATTCACAGAGGTAGAGATGTATTTTTGGATGATTGCAAACATCTGGTTAGTGAGAAGGTTGAATAACACTTTAAATCTGGTTTTTTTTTTTTTTTTGCGGGGCGGAGGGGTGGAATCCACCAAAGTGAAAGTTGACTCACAACCCTAAGGGCTTTGATTTATTATTAGTGTTTTTGATATTAGCAGCAGAATGTGTGTGTGTGTGTGGTGTGTGTGTGTGTGTGTGTGTGTGTGTGCAGAGTTTGTACCCTGCAAAAGATCTGGGCATGGGGAGAGGACAATATATTCCAAAATGCAGACACACCCACTGTTAGGGATGCAGGAGGCAAATTTTACACAGAATCCTCAAAAGGCACATTTAATTTTCTCCCATCTAAGTGGATCAGAGGACAATAGACCTGCTCCCAGACTTTGGTGACTTTGATAATTGAGGCTACTTTTACCTATCTGGTCCCACTCTGTGTTCTGGTTCTTGGTCACAGTAGTGTGTAACAGAATGTTGGGACCTATTTACGTAGAGCTACAAGCCCTCACCACTCATTACTGGTGTTAAGAGGGGAAACAATTTGGATGGCTTCAAAATATGATTAAACAAATTCTTGGGGGATAGAGCTATCAATGGCTACTTGACACAATGACTATGTTTTGGGTAAATCCCGGGCATCTCTCCACAAAGGTGGGAGCAGTACCTGTCTCAAGCCCTGGACAGCCACTGTCAGTCACTGTAGACATTATTCAGCTAGATGGGTAACTTATCTGACTCATTATAAGACAGCTTCTAGGAAGAGTCATAGCTCAGTGGCAGAGCATCTGCTTTGAATTCAGAAGGTCCCGGGTTCAACTCCCAGCATATCCAGATAAGGCTAGGAATATCTCCTGCCTGAAACCTTAAGAGAGCCACTGCCAGTCAATGGGGACATTGTTGAGGTACATGGCCCCTTGGTCTGACGCAGGATGAGGCACCATCCTCTGCTCCTAAGGAAGAAATTTAGTGCAAAGGACCTACAAGTGGTGCATCCAGCTGCATCCCCATCATTGCATTTTGTCTGCAACTCATGACAGCTGCTCCTGGGTTCAGCTAAAGCTGGAAGGTCAATGTTCTAAGCTTCACAGTCAGCTTTCAAAAGTAGGAAAAGCTACTTCCTACAGAAGTTTGATTTGAACTCAAAAGTAGCTGTCACAAGCACTGGCAGAGGAAGGGGGTGCGGTGGGGGCATTTTGCCCCGGGTGTCATCCCTGAGCGGGGGTGACATTGCCACCCCACCCCCCTGGGATGCTAGCCCCGCCCCCGCAGGTGGCTAGCCCCACCCCTTGGTGCACAGCATGTACACCGCTCCGGGTGTCGGAGCAGCTAGCTCTGCCTCTGGTCGCAAGCAGTTTGGGGGTGACTGGGGAGGAAGAGGAATACAGGAGCATAGTAAGCACCTTATACTGATTCTGACCACAGGTCCATCTGGATCAATATTGTTTACAGTGACTGGCAGCTGCTCTCCAATATTTTAAATAGGGGCCTCTGCCAAGCCTACCTGGAGATGCTGTGGAATGAACCTGGGACCTTCTGCATGCAAAGTGTGTGCTTTATTTATTTATTTATTATTACTACTACTACTATTATTACTACTACCATTATTATTTACTTCCTGTCTATAGCACTTTATATTTTTAATAAAAAAAATTCAAGGCAATTTACAACACAGCTAAACATCAAATAAAACAATCCAGAACAAATTTTGATTTGGTCTCCTGTATCTCATTTATGAGGTCTTATTAAGTGCCATCAGTATATTTTCTGCTTATCTTCAGAAGGAATCGTGGTGTGAGTTTTTTACAAAATTGACTTGGAGAGTTTAAACCTTCCCAACTACCAATTCTTAAAACTTTCTCCTGGCAAAGAAAAAAAAAAGTCATAATAGTCATCTTGAGATATGGGGAAACCATTTTAGCAAATGGAGAACAGATGGGCGATTACTATACTGAGAAAGCAATATTTGATGGAATGTTGGAAACAGTTGCAAAATATAATTACATAATATACAATATGTTGTTTTCAGAACTTCACACTCCATCACATATTTTCCTCCCTTTTTCTGTTAACAGTGATAAAGTCAGCATTGCAATTCTGGTTTGGGGCAGATTAAACATGGGCGGGCATTAAGAGTGACTGTGCTAAGAAATGGGTGCTTAGGACAAGGTGCACTAAAGACACTCCATCTGCAGATTGGATGCCCTCGTAGAAGCAGAGCTATGCTAGACTTCCAGGCAACTTGTTGTTGTTTAGTCGTTTAGTCTTGTCCGACTCTTCGTGACCACATGGACCAGAGCACGCCAGGCCCTCCTGTCTTCCACTGCCTCCTGCAGTTTGATCAAACTCATGCTGGTAGCTTCGAGAACACTGTCCAACCATCTCGTCCTCTGTTGTCCCCTTCTCCTTGTGCCCTCAATCTTTCCCAACATCAGGGTCTTTTCCAGGGAGTCTTCTCTTCTCATGAGGTGGCCAAAGTATTGGAGTCTCAGCTTCAGGATCTGTCCTTCCAGTGAGCACTCAGGGCTGATTTCCTTAAGAATGGATAGGTTTGATCTTCTTGCAGTCCATGGGACTCTCAAGAGTCTCCTCTAGCACCATAATTCAAAAGCATCAAAAGGCAACTACGCCCTTGCAAAATTGTAGAATTACAGTTTGGGGCATGTCAGTTGCACACGCGGTAAGAAGAATACTTCAGAAAGCATCTGTAATAATGCCCCTAGTTTCAAAAATATTTTGGTCTCTTTTCTTCCCAACCTTCTTGTTGGGATGAGTGGCCATGGCATTATAGGAAAGCTGAGAGGGAGGTGAAAGTCAATAGTCATAGTTATCTAGACAACGCTGAACCTGGGAAAGAGCTGCAAATGCCTACAGCTTTTCCTTATAGCAAAAATTTAGGGGGAAGAGATGTAGCTTATAGGCCATGTACATTACTTGGATGCAGAAGCTCAGTTTCTTCCATTTCCAGGTAAGCCTAGGTGAGGCTTTCCTGTCTGAAACCTTGGAGAGCTGCTGCCAGTCAGTGTTGACCCTACTGAGCTACAGGGACCAAAAGTTTGACTTAAGTACAAGGCACTTTCCTGTGTTCCAGTGTTATTAATTTTTCTAAGTATTGGTATCTGCTTTGAGAGTTCTCAAAGCAGCTTACAAGCAAGAATAAAAGTGAATTAAACATATATGAAGATCAACAATAAAACACAGGGGAGCAGCATGAAAGCAAACAGCATAAAAACATATATTTCAGCGTTTTTTAAAAACTCCCATATGTATCTCCCCACCCTCACCCCATTTCAAGCTGAAAGTCCATCTCATCAGACTTTTGTTTGATTTATTTAAATGCTTTGAAGCATGGATGGAGAAACCTTCCTAAGCCCAAGAGCTGAAGGCCATTCCCCTCTTGGCAATGTTCCAGGGTCCACATGCCAGTGGTGTGTGTGTGTGTGTGTGTGTGTGTGTGTGTGTGTAGATGCAAAAGTACATGGAGCAATGAATATAAGTGTTACCTTTCTGTGCCTAGCTTTATTCTCCACACCCACATACTCACAACCAGCCTTCTCCATCTGCTCTGTCCAGGAAAGCAAGAGGCATCATTAGAATTCAAGAGTTCCAGCCAGGCTGGACTGCGGTGTGACTGGGAAGTGCCTATAACCTGGAGGCTGAGGGCTGGATAGAGAGGCCTGAGGGCCACAATTGGTCCCCAGGTTTGAAGTTCCACCCATTTCTCATTTATAAGATTTCTTAACAGTTTTCAGAGCTATGTAACAAAAGTATAAATCAGGAGTCAGCAAACTTTTTCAGCAAGGGGCCAGTCCACTGCCCCTCAGACCTTGTGGGGGGCCAGACTATACTTTGGGGGGGGGGGAATGAACAAATTCCTATGCCCCACAAATAACCCAGAGATGCATTTTAAATAAAAGCACACATTCTACTCATGTAAAAACACGCTGATTCCCGGGCCATCCGCGGGCCGGATTTAGAAGGCTAAATCCGGATCCAGCCCCCGGGCCTTAGTTTGCCTACCCATTGATTTAAAACCAATAAATGCACAAAACAAAAGACGCCACAAGACAAAAGACACCCCCACAAAAAAAATGCTCTAAAATTTACAATGTTTGTGCAAATAATGTCTTCATCTGGTGCCTCTTGGTTGTGGATGCACCATGTATCTCTGCTAAAGAGGTACTCGAATCAGGGCCTCTGCAGAAGGCCAGAATCAGCCCTTCACTGCTTTCTTTTGCACTGGTGGCCATACTTCTTGAAACTCCACTCTCAGCCAAGGATGTAAGATGGCATCATTTTCCATTCTGCCCTGCATTTGTTGCATGCATCGCTGTTTTCATTCCGTTACAGTTCATCTTCTGCCAAAAACTACATTATTTGTCTTGCTTTCTGCTGAGGCACAATTACATAACTTAAATAATTACATTGCTATTATGTGATTCTGCACCATTCATTTCAGTACAAAGGAAACACAAAGCAAATATGGAGGGGGCATAATCAGTTACATGTTATTTGTGAACTAAAATCATCAGTGAATATGTGATAATAACTGGAATGACATGGGACAAATAAGTGAGCATCAGCAATCTCTACTCCCCTTTCCTTTGGGGCCCAAGATCCTATAACCTGAAGTCCTGACTACTTAAGGCAGAAATTTCCCCCCTCTATCTGCAAAATGTGTTTTCCTGTGGATAATTCTTAGATTTTTTTTTGTGTGAGTTAGCAGAGCATTAGTGAAAAACTTATCTAGACAATGCATTCAGCCTGGTGATGTTTTGGAGTGTGGTTTCTTTTGGGATGCCGGGTGGATGAAATTGGATTAAGGCAAGCCAAAAGCTCTACATGCAGTTTGGTTTTGTTATTCATATAACCGATGAAGAAAGTAAAGAGGGGGAAACAATTGTCTTAGTTTTTATTCAGGTAATTAATAATCAAATTACTTCTGTATAAATTTACATTTGAATAAAACAATTGTTTTGAGGGAGAGAACTATCAAAATATTTTATTTCACTTTTAGACCACCCTTCATTCTATAAAATGTTCAGCATAACCCCCAAAAATAAAAAAATAAAAATTTCAAAACATCACTGGAAACAAGCTAACATGAAATGAACAACCCCATTTCTCTCTCTCTCTCGCTCTCTCTCTCTCTCTCTCTGTGTGTGTGTGTGTGTGTATGCCCTAGCAACTCAAGTTGCTTGCATATAAGGAGAGCTCTAGGGTGGGGAGTCATACCATTGTCCCTCCCCCTTTCCCACACCTTCCCAGATACCGAGAGAGGCTGACACTGTCTTAAGTTTCATGGTGGGAGAGAGATGGGATATGCATGTAACAACAAAAACAAACATCTAGCAGGCTAAAAGCCACATCTGATCTAAGTGACATTATATGCTACTAGCTCCAAAATAGGTTTCCTTGATTCTACCCTAATTTATGCCCTGATTGTCAGGAGAGGGACAAGGAAACTGCAATGCTCTTGATTCTCCTTGACCTCTCAGCAGCTTTTGATACTGTTGGCTGTGATGTCTTCCTGCACCACCCTAAGACTGATTGTTGGGGCCACTGTGCAGCAGTTATTCCAATCCTAGCTACAATGGTGCTTTCAGAGAATGGCACTGAGTGATTTCTGCCTCAATTCTGACTTGTGGGGTTCCAGAGTGTTTGGCCCTGTCTCAAATTTCAGTGGTGCCCTGTGTGATGCCAAAATTCAGTGCCTCCTCCTGCCTCTCACACTCCATTCTAGATAATAGTTGTGGCATCCCCGAGGCTCTGCACCCAGTGCAAACCGGTCACACTCCCCTAAATCCACCTCTGGTGGCACCCAGTTCTAGATA